CAGGTGGACAAATATGAGAAACTCAGTAGGCACCCTAAACAAACAAGACACTAGGAGGGGTGGCTCACACCTTCAATCCCAGCACTTAGGAAGAAGAGGCAGGAGGATCTCTGTGAGTTCGAGGTCAGACTGGTCTACAGAGTGAGTTCCAGGACAGCCAGGGCTATAAAGAGAAACTCTGTCTCAGAAAAAGAAAGGAAGGAAGGAAGAAAGGAAGGAAGGAAGGGGAAAAAAAAAAAAAGACTGCAATCACACTGCCCTGGTACACACCTCTAAGCCCAGCACTCAAGAAACTGAGACAAAAAAAATCATGGGTTCAAGGCAAGTCAGGGCTACATAGGGAAACCAATTCTCAAATAACAATCACACACATAAAGGAAGTTCTCATTTTTCAGTGGCACCTGTATATACAGGCAATGTGGCTTTTCACTGAGCATTTAAAACTTGGGCCAGTCTACGAATGTGGCTGAGTGATAGATCATTTTGCCTCTACCTATAATCTCCCAGTGAGGGGCTGGGGCGTGGCCCAGTGGTAGAGCCCCTGCCTAGAATCCCCCAGTGAGGAGGTGGGGTGTGGCTCAATGGTAGAGCCCCTGCCTAAAATCCCCCAGTGAGGGGCTGGGGTGTGGCTCAGTGGTAGAGCCCCTGCCTAGAATCCCCCAGTGAGGGGCTGGGGTGTGGCTCAGTGGTAGAGCCCCTGCCTAGAATCCCCCAGTGAGGGGCTGGGGTGTGGCTCAGTGGTGGAGCCCCTGCCTAGAATCCCCCAGTGAGGGGCTGGGGTGTGACTCCGCCTAGAATATTTGCACTGTTTAGATTCTTAGCACAGATCCAGGATCCTGGCACAAGGAAGAATTGGAGGAAATGAAAGAAGGATATTAAATGAATCATTGCTGAAGCTGGGGAGCACAAGACACCTGAGACACCTGAGTATTCAAAACTTTTGATGGTACGAAATGTTTCCTAGTACGCTGCAGAGACCTCAGTCGTCAGGCATCCAAGTCAGGCCCGGGAAAGAGATAGGAAACAAGGAACGGGAGCCCAATTTCTCCGTCTGAAGAACAAGGGTCACCATAGGCCTGATCACGGGATGGTGGAGACTGGAAGGCAGAGCCAGGAAGAAAGGAAAGTGATGATGGAAGTCGCTGGTCAAACCAACCTGTTCCCGCAGCTCCTGGCTGCTCTGGTGGGACTCCACCTGCTGGCCCAGCAACTCCCTCAGCTGCTCTTCCTCCCGCCGAGCAGCCACCCGTTCACCGGCCAGTTCACCCCGGAGCAGGGCCACCTCTACTTCCATCTGCAAAGAAAAAAAAAAAAAAAAAAGCAAGTTTTGGTGCACGTGCAGCAGCCGGGGCGGAGGACCGGCCTGGGAATGGCCCTGTGGAAGAGGCCCCGGGCCTGGAACACCTGATTATCAGAGATCCAACAGCTTAGAGTGGCCTTGCAGGTTCCCCCACTGGTTCATTTTCCAAGGGCTCCCCATGCTCACCTCGATCCTCAGTTCCTTCTTCTGGCGCTGTAACTCCTTCACACGCTGCTCCATCAGAGCCACACGGGTCAGTGCCTCCAGCTGCTGTCCTCGCAGCCGCCGCGCCGCCCCTCGCATCCCTTCCCCAGGAGGGAGACATGGGGAAGGAGTGGCTGGAATCTGCACGGCAGGCGTAGCCTCGGGCTGAAATTAGAGAGGGTGTGATCGGAAGGAGAGAAGTTCCCCCCCCCCCTACAGTCACCAAACAGGTCTGGTCCCCAAACCAGTTGCGCCCCTGGGGGTCACGAGCTGCCTAATTCAACTGCTTCCATTTCGGTCTGAATGGAAGAGCATACAGGGGGGCGGGGGAGGGGGCTCCAAGTTCAGGATGGGTACAAAGGCTGGAGGCTACTACGCCAAACTCTCTCTCTCTCTCTCTCTCTCTCTCTCTCTCTCTCTCTCT